AAAGTTATTTGTGGAGGGGAAAACACTCCATCACCCTGAACTCAGTATCACATCACTGAAACAAAGCTGATCGTATAGGATGATCTTATTGAAAATCTATTAGAGGCTGTGAAGGACTTGAAAGCAGCACTGAGGGCAGCTCAGTTGAAAACTTCCTCCCCGATGCATCTATGGTCACAAAAATCACAACAGTTTTTATTGCTGCGTAAATCTTTTCAGTTTAGTGCCAGTTATCTAAATTTGAATGTTTTTCCAGCTCCATCTGCTCTCCTGGTTTACAGGTATGGCTGCACTACAGTTGTAAAAATACTGTAACTACTAAGCATGGAACCCAAAAAGGCAATATTATCTTTACTATGCTTCTTTTTAATGTTGCCTTGGTATTGTGTATACATAACTATCTGCCCTCTGACAGATTACTTTTGTTTTTGCCTTTTGTCACTCAAATGTTAAGATCAAAATTAGAGAAATTTATGCAGAATCAATACAAAATGTAGCTTTTAAATGACTTTATTTCCTAACAAGGAAAATGTTATCAAAACCTAACCTATGTGGAAAAGTAACTGCCTTCCTATGATAAATCATAAATGAACTATGATAAAATGCATTTTAGAAAGTGGAATTGAATTTCACAAACCACACCCAGGCTTGATTTTTGACGAACCTTGTAGAATCAAGATTAACTTGAACAGAACCTCTGACAAAATAAAAATAGGCTAAAAAGATCCCAGAAAGCTACACACCATACCAAAATCTAAATAAAAACAAGAATAAATAAAATGGGCATCTCTAATTTGATGTTACACCATTTGTCACATTTCTGTCTTCATTTAAAATCTTCCATTCTTCCATTTTTCCTCTTTTTATTTGTCCATCTTCACATGCATTGTTTTTTTATTACCATTACATTGTTTCCATCTAATGTTCTTAGTGGCTCCTTATCCCCAGAGAGCCATGTGTTGCACTTTATAGCATTTTAATAGAAAGAGTGATGCATGAGTGAAGTGTGCCGCTGCTGCTGGATCCGACCCTCTCCACAGTTTTAAGTACAGTATGCTAATGTAACCTGTGGGCTGTGAAAAAGCAGCTTTTCTTTCCAGAGTGCTGTACTTTAAAGCACAGAAATAGGATGCGAGGCTTATATGCATGTGGAGAATGTCATTATTTGTAGAGGGCTAGATGGACCTAATTGCATAACATGTTTTTATTCAGATCTGTGAATGTGAGGTGATGGGGTGTAAATGCTAAAACATTCAAATGGCTGCGCTGATTCACACAGTTTAATCACTTATTCTCTGCCTGTTTAATGCTGACTCTTGCTCTCCTGCTACACGAAGGAGCCGGGTCTAGTAGGGATTAAGGTAAATCAGCTACACATTTCCCAGCATGCTTCCCTTCCTTCGTCCTATCAAAATGATAAGAGTTTTACAAGTTTTATCCAATACTGCTGGGACCAAAGGTCACCTATCGGACACCATAAGAAATTTTGGTCTTTTTTTAGCACAAAACAGTCCATACAATTCTCTAATATTCAGTAAAATAAAAAGAAGTTTTATTTTATCAGCATCCACTTTAGTTGAGTTTCTCTCTCAGATAAAATATTTGAATCCATCAATATTTGGGTCAGAGTAAGCTTTAGTTGCTTTCTGATGTGAGATTTGTGTGTGTATGTGTGTGTGGGGGGGGGGAGGGGGGGTTGTTTGTAATACCTTGTGGGGACGATTTTCCTGACGCATACTACGTTGTGGGGACCAATTGCTCCTTGTGGGGCCCGAAGCCTGGTCCCCACAAGGGGAAACCCTGTTTTTGGGTCAGGGTCCCAATGGATAGAGTTAGGACTAAGGTGTGAATTGAGTTCTGGGTAGGGTTAGGGTTAGGTCTGTGATAGGGTTAGAAAAAGGGTAAAGGTAATGTTTAGGCTGTAGAAATGAATGGAAGTCAATGGAAAGTCCCCACAAAGATAGCCACGGAAACGTGTGTGCGTGTGTGTGTGCGCGCACGCGCGCCAGAAGTAGCACCACATGCAAAAGCAGGATAAGCCTCAGTACAGTGAGAGAAATACAAGTGCCTCTAACCTCTCTTTCACATTACAATGCTGCTTGAAGGACTTCAGTCTCCTGGGTACCAAGGTAGGTAAATTTAAAAGGTCAAAGAGAAAAAAAAAAAAAAAAAATCAATTTCTCAGAATGTTCCTTGATCCACTTTCTCCTGCAGAAAGGTGGAATTGTCTTTGTTTTTTGTTCTTCACTCATCTGGCTTATTAGGCTTTACAGGAAAAGTACTGAATTACATGTGTCTGATATTATATGAACTGTTTTGTCTTGTAGGTCCCGTTAGGGTTTTGCCAGTCTTTTCAAGATTTTTTTTTTTTTTTTTTTTTTTATTTGATGAAGTTTAACGCTCCTGTTTCTGGTACTTTCTGTAGATATGTAATTGGTTTGTAATTGACTGTAGTGGAAACCTGTGAAACAAATTCAGTGACTTGCTAAAATGAAAGAAAAATAATCCTTAAATGCTTGTAAATACTAATTTTGCTTGAAGTCGATTGTATATTTATCTAAATTTACAACTCATCTCCCAGTCCATTAGGGTTTTATTTTTTTTTAATTATCATTTTGTACCTGTGTTTCAGAATGAGTCGAGGAACATCGAGATGCTTGCGGCAGCCTGTGCAGTGGGACTGAGCAGCTGCTTTGCTTCCCCAATAGGAGGTGAGTTTGCAGGACAAATTAATTGTTTTGCTTACTGTAAATTTGATTAGAATTAATTGGACTAATCTAATTCAAAGTCATTTTAAAAACAACTGTTGGCCATCATTCCAATTACAGTAAAGGAATTAAAATAGCCTTGATGAAATGTATTTAAAGAGCAGATCAGTTTTTCAAGGCTGTTGTTACAAGATATACTTAATTTCAAAGTTTTACTTTGTTTATTCTTACTATTGAACCAACTTTTGTATCAAAGTTAAAATCACTGGGAAATATTTAACCAAAATCTTTGATCTAAAATTCTTCAAAACACATTGAGCTACCTGATCCAAAATATGAGATGTGGGGGGACTTGCTCAAAGAAGCAGTTTTTATATCTCACACCATATTGCAATGTTCAATCATCACACATTTAAACAACTCTCTTCTATTCCCTTAATGTCTGTAGGAAAAATATGTCACAATTTATTGCTCTGCCTTGTGTTGCAGGTGTGTTGTTCAGTATTGAAGTAACATCCACATTCTTTGCTGTGAGGAACTACTGGAGAGGGTTCTTTGCAGCTACCTTCAGTGCCTTCATCTTCAGAGTGCTGGCTGTCTGGAACAGAGACGAAGGTAATGTCATTGAGCTCCATTTATATCAGGCCGTTAACCAACCACCTAAACATCTAAGCAGTTTAATGCTGTACATAATTGCCCCACACATCTTATCTAATCAAAGCAAAACACCATCTGCTAAAACTTAAAAAAAGTTAAACTGTTAAAAGAATGTTTGTCCGAATATTAAAAATTAGTGTGCATGTAAGAGTGGAAGAAGTTTAACCTAAATATAATGTTACTGAAGTTTACTTTACCACAATTTTATGTTAAGTATATTATTTATTAGTTTGGAAACACATGTTCAGGTCCTTGAGGTCCAGCTACATCAAGAACTTAATTACAACAAACATTATATTTCAGCAACATGACATATGATGAAACATTTTCAAGTGCACGGAAATGTTGTAAGCCACTATATTTTATTCTTTTGTTGTATATAAGTATATTTGACTACATTTAAAGGGGTTAGGTGACATCTTGCATGACACTGCATTTGAATTTTATTTCATCTTTTGCACCACTGATTAGTACCTTTTCAAACATTCAGACTTTTAAAATAACTTTTTTCTCAAATTGCTACAGAATTTTAAATTGATAATAATGGGAGTTTCACTCCAGCATCATAAATACTGGCAGCTACAATCGTAAGTTGTTGAAAGCCATTTGGAATAATATTCTCAGCTTGTTAAATTATCCTGTAATGACTAATAAGTAACTTATCAAACAGCAGGAAGAGCCTGAACTGTATGACTCAATACTTATGTCTGAATCCACTCTGTGTATTATGGCACACATCATTAGCTTTCTGAGAAGTTAACATGTCCTGTTGGTAGTAATAACATCTGAATTCAACGGAATATGAGAAACTCTGGTGGCAGATTGAAATGTATTACCACTTTACAGGAAAAAGAATTAGTTTGCAGAGCTGCACTTCTAACTCACCAAGCTGCAGGTCCCAAGTGATCTGTTAGCTACTACCGTTTATTTCCCACACCTAATTTTCTCTACCCATCTGTCTACTGTGTGCTGGCAGGACTTCTGGTCTGCAGGGCAAGCTTGCTTTTTATAATTAGAAACAAAGCATGAACTGTAATTGTACCTGCACAGAAAACTGAAACGGCTACAATTAAAACCTTCGATGTGGACCTCACATTACCAATTTTGTGTGTTTTATTGTGACTTGTTCTAATTTCTAACTTCTGTATGTTTCTGTTTATTCAGAGGCCATCACGGCACTTTTCAGCACCCATTACCATTTGAATCTTTCCTTTCACCTTAAGGAGCTTCCTGCCTTCATTGTCCTTGGGTGAGTTTTCCCCCAGGTCAGAGGTCATCAACATGTGGCTCTCTGGACCTTACACAATGACTTTTAATAAAGTTTAAAAATACATAGCAAATGTATGTTTTAGGAGTTTTACAGTTTATTAATTACTGCAATTTCTTTTTATAATTGCATAAAACTTACACAACAGTACCTGAAATATTTGTTTTAGTATTTTTCACATAATTTTTCATAAATATCAACAATCCATGGAGAAAACTGTATC